GAGAAAATTAAATTATGGTTTCATAATTTTCACTTGTATCCATGGAGAAAATTAAAATTTTCACTGTGTGAGATCAATTACACCTTGAGTTATCCCTACTCAAGCATGATCCCCGTATATATCCTCTCATATATTTAAATTCCTAATAATTTATACTTTTCTTTCACTCTCAAAAAACCTTGAAAAAAATCCTCTCTAGACACCCTAGAGAAAAACCTAGGAGTACCCAAAGTATTCTTCATACTTTGCTCTCTCCTATGAAAACCTAGAGATACATGATATTTATAAAAGAATCAAATTCTAACTATCATAGTTTTCTTCCTTCACAAGGATTTTTCTTATACTAGGATTCTATTCTCTTGAGACACTAGCTTTAGGAATCTTAAGATGCTTATACTTGATAATTCTCTTGATAAATATTGTTTTTCACTTTTATATCTCTCGAAGAGAATATACTTTGTTTTAAGTTTTTTTTCTGATCTTTGTTACTTATCCTTATTGAATATCTAATCATTAGATCTTTATATAATTTGTTAGGGAGGGACAGGAGACTTTCAAAACCAAAAGAATTTCAAAGATTAACAATCAATAACATACTAGAAATCTAATGTAAGATTTAATGTGATTCGATAATTTCCACCTATCCATTGAGAAAATCAAAATTTTTATCATTTGAAATCAAATAGAAAATTCTTGAATTATCCCCACTCATCCCCTTGTATATCATCTTGTATATCATCTCATAAAGATATTATACCTAAAAATCTTAGATAGCACCATCTCTAAGCACCCTAGAGAAAAAATTTATAAACACCCAAAATATTTTTGGAATCTAGATATATGAGATACTTATAGAAGAATCGAATCAACATGAAAACTCTTTTTCATATTAATATTTTTTATTCTCCTCAGATATTAATATTAGGAAATCCAAAATACTTTCGATCCTAATAAAAGTATTATAATTGCACACCGGAAGGTGCAATAAGAATATGTTAACATCAACTTTTTTTATAGCACTGTCTCGAGTGGATCCTTTCTCGAAAATGTTCCATAGCCCACAAATCACAAATATTTGGGTGCCCAACTTTTTAAAGGCTGCTTCATGGAATTTTTTTTCCTGCCATTTAGCTCTATTTTAATTGTCTTAATGGGTTATTACTGTTACTTTCTTGTATGTATGTTTCTCAGTTAGAAAATAGGTAATCCTATTTATTCTACCTTTTTTTTCCCCTTCAGTTGAAGACTCTCCAACTTCATTTCACTCATCTCATTGTTTGATAGTTCTTTGAGTTAAAAGTTTGAGGTTGCAGATTTTGTCAGGCATGGAGTAATGTGATGCCACTCAGAAAGAAAACGAAGAGGGCAATAAAATTATGTGATTTATTAAACGTTACTTTACTAAACAATAACATCATAAAAAACATCTTGTCAGCTAACACAATAAATGTAATGGGGTCAACAGTTACGTATGACTCGTATATTCCCTTGATAATTTTCCAGTTAACAGTTATATACAGGTTATAAATGGTGTGTCTACAAAAAGAATTAGTAATTGTATGGGGGTGAAAGAATATAACTATGGAGAACATTTCACTATACTGTGGCATCAGACCAGTGGATGGACTGATCAGGTAGCTGATTCACGACAGGGTTTCCTGTGCCATCAACGTCCAGCGTAAGAGTGTCACCAGGTTTGTAATCTCCCGCGAGAATCGCCTCGCTAATGACATCCTCGATGATCTGAGTGACGGCCCTTCTCAGAGGCCTTGCACCGTAGTTTCTATCAAACCCTTGTTCGCACACCAAGTTCATGATGGCATCTGATACCTCCAGACCGATTCCAAGAGACGACAGCCTACTCTTGACTTGTTCAAGCATTATATTCAAAATTGCCAGCATCTGAAAAAGGAAAGCAACCAATTGAGATTGATGTAACGGCGATGCAAACTTGAAAATCTAAACCTAGGTGCTATGGTAGCTCTAGAATTTGGGAAGCATGCTCTCAAATTAGTCCTGCACTTAAGCAAGCATTTAGGATTGAATCCTTTGGTAAATAAATTACTTGGTATACCATTATCAAGATAAAGTAACTTTGACAGATTAATAATAGAGGAACAGACCTGAGTTTGCTCAAGCGAGCGGAACACGACGACCTCATCAATTCTGTTGAGTAGCTCAGGCCGGAAGTATGCCTTCAACTCTTCCATCACTAGTGCTTTCATCGATGCATATGAGTTAGATACTGTGTCTTCTGCAATCAAGAATCCTATGCTTCGTTTACCCTTGGAAATTGCTTCAGATCCCACATTAGATGTCATGACAATCAATGTGTTCTTGAATGAAACTCTCCGCCCCTATTGCACAAGAAGAAAACACTGAGGGTAAAACACTACTTCATGCAATATAAATGAGAACCGCATAACACCTGACATAGCAATAATGTTCCTAATGATATTGAAGACTGTTATATCATGCCTTTTAGAATGGAGAGTGAGATATCTCATGGCAGGGGTGGAAAACATTACAAGCAATATGTACAATTAATTGTACGACAGAAGCTTAATCTATGGCATTTTGATAAAAGCAGTTAAAATCAAGCTATTCATGCCCATCGAAACTGAGAAAAGAAAGTGAATATGAAAAAGTTCATATTACACCACAGAGATGAGACAACATCAGGCAGGGGCAAAGTTTCTTCTTGACTGAGACGACAATATGTAAGGGGGATAACTATATTTAAAACAAGAAAAATGTTAATTATCTTTAACAAGTACAAGGAAATTAAAATCATGCCATGGGTTTCTGTACTAGATTTGATTATGATAATCTAGAACCTAAACGCAGCACCACAAGAGGGCAATAAAACTGGAAATGCATTCAAATAGTTGTAAATTAATAGAATCTAATTAATATTTTGGTCTATCTAAAAATATCAATAGAGCATATCTTGTAAATTATTTCACAATAGACATTACGTGACCATCATGCCTTCCCTAGACACTCAAATAGATGTATTTGAGTATTGCAATACTGTTTTAGGACTTGAACTTGTTGATCACTGCATTATCATGAAGACCTCACTATGCTGCTGTAGAATTAAGCTTAGTTTTAACTGTTATCACGTCATAGAAGTACTTGCTAGGGAATTTTTTTAAACTATCAAATGAATATAGAAAACTTTGAAAAAGTGTGCTGAATTACAGCAATAGAAAATTAAAGAAGAGTTTCAATCATAAATATCCAATTTGATATATATGATAAGCTTTAGCGGATAAAGCAAAACATTTAGAGCAGCAGAAAGATGTTTTTACAAACCTGAGAGTCGGTTAGGTGACCATCTTCAAATACTTGGAGGAGAATATTAAATATGTCAGGGTGAGCTTTCTCTATCTCGTCAAGCAAAATCACTGTGAAAGGTCTTCTCCTAACTGCTTCAGTCAAAGTACCACCATCTCCATACCCAATGTAACCTGGCGGAGATCCTATAAGCTTGCTCACAGTATGCCGCTCCATGTACTCGCTCATATCCAATCGCAGCATTGCGTCCTCCTTTTATATTAATACACTATTTAGACTTTAGAGAATCAAACAAGTAGCAGCAAAACCAAAATGGATAAGTTGTTTACATAAATGCATGTTGTGAGAACCATGTATAATGAATGATGGAAGATTAAATGTCACCTGAAACCATTTGCTGGAATGACTACTAAAACCAATTTACCACAAAAGTAGAAACGATGAAGTTATTTCAATTGCATATTTGGCAAGGCTACATGCTTATTTAATGAAGCTTGAGTTACATATGAAGCAATCAATGCCTATATAGCAATTCAAATTTCATAAATGGTTAACTAGCTAAATTTAGTAGACATGTTCTGAAAGTAGAAAGAGAGAGAGAGAGAGAGAGAGAGAGAGAGAGAGAGAC